CATATTATTTTTTTCATTCTTATTCTTCTACTCATTTTAACCACATATTTTTCAATAAAATAATATTTTTCATCATATCAATAACTTTTCCTTCTTTTTTAACTACATATTCTCCATCGCATCAAACAAAAAAATGCATTATTGTGGAAATAATATGGCTCAAACAGGGGCTTTGTGTGCTTATTGAAGAAATCACTATATAGATTGAAGCAATCACCGAGGTAGTAGTATAAGAGATTTGATACAGTCATGAGTAGACTCATGACTTTGATAGATGTAATTATGATAGTTGTGTGTACTTTAGAAAAGAAAGTTGTGATCTTGTGGATCAATTATATATTTGCTATTATATGTTGATGATATGCTTATATCAGTAAAGGATGAAACAGAGGTCAGAAATGTAGAATTACAACTCAGCAAGGAGTTTAACATAAAGGATTTGCGTGCAGCAAAGAAGATTCTTGGAATAGAGATCTTGAGGGATAAAAAGGCTGGCAGATTGTATTTGAGTCAGAAGGGGAACACTGAAAAGATGCTTGAAAGATTCAATATGGTGAAAGTTAAGGTTGTCAGTACTCCTTTAGCTGCCCACTTCAAACTATCATCTAACTTGTGTCCGCAGTCAGATGAAAACATTGATTATATGTCTTGGGTTCCTTACTCCAATACAGTTAGTTGGCTTTTGTATACTATGGTTTGTACAAGACCTGATTTGGCACGGGCAGTTAGTGCAGTTAGCAGATACATGGCTGATTCTGGCAAGGAACATTGGAAAGCAGTAGAGTAGATCTTCATATACTTGAGGGGCTCTTCAAATGCTTGTTTGCATTTTAGTAGAAATTCAGATGGAGTCATCGGTTATGTGGATTCAGATTATGCTGATGATCTTGATAAGAGGAGATCGCTTACAGGGTATGTGTTTACTCTTGGAGGNATAAGAGGAGATCGCTTACAGGGTATGTGCTTACCCTTGGTGGCTGTGCTATCAGCTGGAATGCTATTTTGCAAAATACAGTAGCTTTGTCTACAACAGAAGTAGAATACATAGCTATTACAGAGGCACGTAAGGAGGCTATATGGTTGAGAGGATTGATTGGTGATATTAGTGAAGACTTGCAAATATCTTCATTATTTTGTGATAGTCAGAGTGCAATTTTCTTGACTAAGGATCAGATTTTTCATGAGAGGACTAAGCACATTG